CTACCCCAACTAATCCCCAACCCCCCCCCCCCCCGGGCCTGTGTTTACCCCCCGCTCCGCCAGCGCTGAGGGGCCGCTCCCCCACCGGAACCGGAAGTTCGCCTCAGCCGCCTCCTGCCGTACAACATGGCGGCGCCCATGGTGCTTAATAAATCCCGCTCTTTCCGCCTTTTTCCCGCTCCCCGGTGCTTTTAAATCGGTGACGAGGGTTTAACGCTGACGGGGGTTTCGTTCCGCTCGGTTTGGCGGCGATTTGCCGTTCAATTCGGTTCTAAAAAGCACCGAGGTGGGCGGGTGGGTGCCGCCATCTTGTTGAGCGGCTCCGCCGCGCCTCAAGATGGCGGCCCTGGCGGTGAACCCAGGGGAGCGCTGGATGGAACCACCCAAAAAAAGAGGGGGGAAACACCCTCGAGTCCCCCCCAGACCTCTTCGAACTCTCCCAAACGTCCCTAAACCCCCCCTTTCCTCATTTCACGCTTGGTTTCGCCCTCAGTTCCCGACTCTCTCCTACACCGGAAGCGGAAGTTCCTCTTGCCGTACAACATGGCGGCTCCCAGCCATCTCCTTCTCCACTCGCGGTTTTTCCGCCGCTCTTTCGGTTCCCGGGAGCTCAAATCGGTACCGGGAGTGAAATCGTTGATGGCGGAGCCGCCGGGCTCAAATTGGTTCCGGTTTGGTTTGAAACGAGGCGAGAAACGGCCCCGGGATGGGGTCGGTGGGTGCCGCCATTTTGTGTTACGGAACCGCCGCGCCTCAAGATGGCGGCGGGGGCGTGACGTCACTCTGATTTCTCTTATTAATTTTAAATTATTTCTATTTTTTATTTAATTCTTTGGTTTTGTTTTGAATTTAATTCGTGTTTTGTTATTTGTCGGTTTTTATTTTTTATTATTATTTCTTTTTTATTTATTTTTTAAATTATTTTTGGGTTTTATTTTGTTGGATTTTTTATTTTAATTAATGTTTTTTAATTAATTTTTAATCTTGATTATTTTTTTAATTTTTACCTCGCGTTTTCCAACATCTAAATTTATTTTTAATTTCGATTTCGTTATCCGAAATTTCATTCATTTAAATAACTTAATGAGCTTTTATTAGTTGAATTCTATTTTATTAATTCAGACATTTATTAACTCAGCTCTTTATTAATTCTTTATTAATTCCTTGTTTTATCTTTTATTTATTCTATTTTATTTCTTTTTTCCTTATTTTATTTTGTTTCATTTATTTTTCATTTTATTTTTCCTTACATTATTTGATTTTAATTTAATTTAATTTAATTTTTTCTTATTTGATTTGATTTGATTTTTTATTTATTTTATTTTAATTTAATTTATTTTTCCTTATTTAATTTAATTTAATTACAATTTAATTTAATTTTTTCCTTATTTTATTTTATTTTAATTTAAAGTTTCCTTATTTTATTTTATTCTAATTTAATTTTTCCTTATTTTATTTCAGTTTATTTTATTTACATCTTATTTTATTTAATTACAATTTAATTTTATTTTTTCCTTATTTTATTTCACTTTATTTTAATTTATTTTTCTTTATTTTATTTAATTTTATTTATATTTTATCTTTATTTTATTTTTTCTTATTTCATTTTGTTTTATTTCTATTTTATTTTATTTTAATTTAATTTATTTTTTCCTTATTTTATTTCATTTTATATTATTTTTATTTTATTTTTTCTTTTTAAATTTCATTTTATTTCTATTTTATTTTATTCTATTCTATTTTATTTTTCTTTATTTTTTTTATTTTTTCCTTATTTTAATTTATTTTAATTTATTTTTTCTTTATTTTATTTTTATTTTCCTTTTTTATTTTATTTTAATTTATTTTTTCCTTATTTTATTTTATTTTATTTTAATTTAATTTATTTTATTTTAATTTAAATTATTTTTTCTTTATTTTATTTCCTTTCCCATTCTTTATTTTTCCCTCCTCATTCCCGTTTTTCTCCGTTTCCATCCCATTTTTCCTGCTCCAATCCCTTTTTTATTCCCAAGGAATTTATTCCCAAGGAATTTATTCCAACTTTATTCCAAACATAAAAAAAAACAGGAAAAAATTCCCAAATCCAACCCTCAAATCCCGGGAAATATTCCCGGGAATTCCGCTGGGAATGGCGGGATTGGGGATCCAAAAATTCGGGAATTTTAGAATTCCAGGGATCCAAAAATTCGGGAATTGTTGAATTCCATGGATCCAAAAATTCGGGAATTTTAGAATTCCATGGATCAAAAAATTCGGGAATTGTTGAATTCCAGGGATCCAAAAATTCGGGAATTGTTGAATTCCATGGATCCAAAATTCTGGGATTTGGGGTCATTCCATGGATCAAAAAATTCGGGAATTGTTGAATTCCAGGGATCAAAAAATTCGGGAATTGTTGAATTCCATGGATCAAAAAATTCGGGAATTGTTGAATTCCAGGGATCCAAAAATTCGGGAATTTTAGAATTCCAGGGATCAAAAAATTCGGGAATTGTTGAATTCCATGGATCCAAAATTCCGGGATTTGGGGTCATTCCAGGGATCGGGAATTGTTGAATTCCAGGGATCCCAAACTCTGGGATTTGGGATCAGAATTTTGGGATCGGGATTTGGGATCAGGACCAGGATTCGGGATTTGGGATCAGAGCCGGGATTTGGGATCAGGACCGAGAATTGGGATCGGGATTCGGGATCAGGACCGGGATTTGGGATCGGGATTTGGGATCAGAGCCGGGATTTGGGATCGGGATTCGGGATCAGGACCAGGATCGGGATCAGCACCAGAATTTGGGATCAGAACCGAGAATTGGGATTGGGATTCGGGATTGGGATTCGGGATCAGAACCGGGATTTGGGATCAGAACCGGGATTTGGGATCGGGATCAGGACCGGGATTTGGGATCAGAGCCGGAATTTGGGATCAGGACCGGGATTTGGGATCAGGATCGGGATTTGGGATCAGGACCGGAATTTGGGATCAGGATCGGGATTTGGGATCGGGATTCGGGATCGGCACCGGAATTTGGGATCGGGACCGGGATTTGGGATCAGGACCGGGATTTGGGATCAGGACCGGGATTCAGGATTTGGGATTCAGGATCAGAACCGGGATTCAGGATTTGGGATTCGGGATCGGGATTTGGGATCAGAACCGGGATCGGCACCGGAATT